AAGGAGTTCTACTGTGCCATGAGGTAACATGGGCCAAAGGCAATTCATTTTTAGACATACGTAAACTTTCATGTGCCATCTGCCCAGTAACTTCACAATGTGTCCACTTCTCAATGGGGCATTTTGTTTTGCCTGAACCAGAACCCAAGCAAAGTATCCTTTTTTTATTAAACTTAATAATAATTTATCTATCTTAGTTAAAATGAACTAATTAATATAATGTAATAAATCTTAATTAAAGCTTTTCTTAACATATTTGACAGATCTGGATTTACCACATACCCCACAGAATCTGAAGCAAAGGCTTTGCATTGAACCAGCTCCTCTGATGATTACTTACCTTTGGCCACTACTACTTTATATGACTATAAGCAGAGTGACTATGTCATTGTGAAATATACTGGACGAAAAAATTACATTCAACATTATATTGGAATAATTCAATCTAAGGAACATCCCAGTGATTATTTGATAAGGTTTCTTCAAAGGATTAATAATTCCAACAAATTTATTATCCCATCAAAAGAGATGTCTCTTTAGTAGAACCAAATGATATTGTGGCTCTGCTTCCGACACCTATAATTAATAACAGAATGCAGTATATCTTTGAGGGAGTACAGCTTTTCTCTTATAAAAACTTAGTTAAGTCCTTTATTTCATTTATCCAAAGATGTGTAGGGTGCCACGAGAAATGTATTTGCTGTGTACTGGGTTAAGGATGCCACATCAAATGCATTTATCCAAAGATGTGTAGAGTACCATGGGAAATGTATTTGCTGTATGAACAATGTTAAGAATGCCACATGTTCAGAGTGCATGTCGGAAGTTTCGTAGAGCTTAGTTATGAACCGTGATTTTAAAAATTATTGATTAATTTGACAGTTTGCCATATTAAAAAAAGTGCAATCTATGATCAGGTAAATTTACTATACTTTGAACAATAACGTGTCCTATAGTCCCATTCTGTACCTAAGCAGTACATTTATCGGATTATAGATAGCATTTTTAAAATCTAGCAAACTGTCAAATTAAATAACTTATTTTTATAAATCGTAAAAAATTCATCTAATTAGTAGTTTGTAGAACAAGTACCCAATGTATGGAATGTGGGTTAAAAGTGACTTTAACTCATATGATAAATAGCTATCGTTAAAAGTGGTTCCTGCTTTTATTCATGACATATACTTTTTATTAAATATGTGCTTCTTAGAGAGTAGGTACAAGGTAAGTTAGAGCTACAGTATTTTATTTATTTTAATTAAATTTTGTGAAATTTTAAATATTTCAGAAGCGAAAAAGAACGTTGGACAGACACGAAACAGAAACGATAAGGAGATAGTTGTACGACTGGAAAACGTCAGGGCCTGTTTTCACCGTAGGATAACTTAAACTGCAAGTTATTTGCTATGGTTTACCGGCTCAACACGCATGGAACCTTTTCATAATAATTTTTGTACTTACTAAACTGTAGCAAAAATAAAACACAAAACTTAATAAACATATTTTAATTATTTTTATTATTAATTTGCAGTACGGCTTAATTCTATCTAACAAAACATAAACTTGTAACTCTTCACAAATAAATTTTCATAAATTCGAATAGTATCAAGAAAACGTAGGTAAGTATTCCTAGACAACTGTATATAATTTGCAGAATTTACCATAATGTTCTGTTATCTAAATAAGTAGGTATACAATTTTTAGATATACAAAGTTTTTTAAAGAAATTGGGAAATGTGGATTTTTTTTTTTAAATTCCTAAATACATATGCAAAAATGTCATGAATAATTCTTGAACCAATTAAACGCTTTCAAGTAGAAGTTAAAAAATTTAATAATTACATTACTTACACTTTTACCACATATTATTATTATTTTTTTATAGAAAAATTAACTTTAAAAATTAAATTGCATTGGGGTTTTTAGCTCTTAGTATTCGAGAGGTGGGGTTTGAAAATATAATTTTTAAATTGAATAAGAAATAAAAATCGGCGTATCCGAACATTTTTTCGAAATATTTTTCATAGCAGTCAGTGTTGTCGAAGTTATCCATTACTTTTGGAAAGCATTGTATAATCGCACATACACAATTCAAAAAAACCTCTTTACTAAATATTTTAACGATTAGTGCATTTGTTTTATAATTTACTTTAAGTTTAGTTCCTTGAAAACTGAGTAATAAAACAGTTTTTAACAGTTTTCTGTTGCAGGTATAATAATATAATATGTAATACTGTGTAATATAATATAATAATACTGTGCTCAGTACCTACTTTTTCTTATTTTTAGTTATAACATTTTTTATGAAAAATTTAATATCGGTCCATGATCTGCGGCTAAGTATATCGTTATGCTTCTCTTTAATTTTCGTACACTTATCCTTCCGGGTACGATTTCGTTTTTTATTTCTATTTTAAATTCCTTCAACAACACTTCCTTTTCTGAATTATTCCACGAAACTCTTCCTAAAGCCGGTTCTCTTCGTCCTTTTCGGTTTACTATTTCCTAAAAAACAAATAAAGAAAGAATATAATAATATTTATATCGGCTATAACTTTGCAGTTGTATAACACCCTATAAATAATATCATGTAAAAGCGGGCAATTATTTTGGCCAAACTTTTAGTCAGCTTACAAATTATTGTATATTTTACAGTATTTTTAATAAAATACTTTGTAAATACAACTTTTTAATCCAGCTTATAGTTTGGTGAGAAACCAGGCTTTATGGCCCACTTCTGTAAAATAAAAATAAAAAATTTACGCACTCGATTTTTGTTTCTTTCTTTCAATAAATGGTTCAGATGTTAATTCTTCCGCTTCCTTCGCAGTACTGCGATCTGAAACCTCAGCACTGTCTCTTTGAATTTCTCCATCTTCTCTCGTCGTCATTTTGATCAGGAGGATCCTCTTCTATGGGTGATAAATCTAGGAAAATATTATATGTTATATATTAAATCACAGATGCGTGGCTTTTTAAATTGCAGAAAATCACGAAACTTCAGCTCTTATTATAATAAAATTAAATAATCAAATACAAAATTTGAACAAAAAACTTGGTTTGACATAAAAAAATACTTCAGGGTAAAATTAATCTAATGTGTGTGTACATTTATTATTAAGAAAAAGAATTAACTACTTCTTTATAAGACGTTTACATTATTTTTTTAGCAATGGATGTATACACACTTGTTTTATAGAACTTCAATTATTTTCTTGCAGAACCAAGTTTCTTGTTCTATAGTTATTTTATTTTTATAAATATAATATTATTATATTAATATGGTTTTATATATGTATAAATTTTTAAATTTTCTCTTTTAGCCTTAAAAAAGTTCCAAATCAAGGACCAAAAAGCTTGGTTGTTTTTTTATTTGATTTATTGGTTTTATAATAAATATAGTAAGAGGTAATATCTCGTGACTTCGTGCAATTTAAAAATATTATATTTAGATGATTTATCAATAAGTCTAAATAATTAAATTTTGCCTTACCTTTTACTTTAATATCCTCCAAAGATTTTCCAGCAAATGTATGTGCTTTCCCTTGGTCCACTGCCAACTGCCAACCTGCTAACTTTGGATAGCTCAACTGTATTTTCATGGAGGCGATAAAATACACGATGGACCCTTATATCGTGGCCCAGATGTCGCGGAAGCCAGTCACACTCGTTTTCCTTAAGATTAAAGACTTGGCAAACGGTAGCTACGTATTTTCGTAACTTTGTACTTGTTATTGTTTCTGGCGACTTCAAGTTTGCTTCAGAACACCATTTTTTAATGCAATCGTGGCCTCTCATATACAAATTTAAATCACCTAGCCGTGCAAACACAAAAGGATTTTTTCATTTCTTTAGTAAGCAATACTGGTACTTTCCTTCCTCGCTTTCCTATTATTTCTACTACCGTTAGAGCATTTGCTAACTTAGTTTCAAATTCCGTCAAAGATTCTTTCATTTCTGCTACACCCTGATTTTTCCATGCTGGTCTCTTCGTGTATTGTTCAATTTTCATCCTTGCAGCTTCTCCTGAACGTCTTTTATTGAAAAGAATTATACGACTTCTCTTTCGACTTCTTTTCTCTTTCCATGTCATTCTTTGTTTCTTGGATCATGAATTCTAAAAATTTGCTTAATTTGATTAAATCACCAGTAACTGGAAGTAAATCAACTGAGCTTTCTAGACTGCAAAGTAGCTAACGCGTTCGACGAAATTCTAACACTCCACTCCAAATCCAAAATTGACAAGGAACCCAACAATATTTCATTTCTTTTTAGGTCACCCCTTCGCAAACATAAACCTCTTTCAATCCCAATGCACTTTCTAATAGAATACCCAATTTTTAGTGCTAAAGATGGAACTCCGAATTCAGTCCTTTTCGCTGTTTCGTTCGATGTTACACAAAGGGACTTTGTCGCTAAGACAACAGCATCAAACTTTTCAGGGATAAGAGCGTCAATTAACTTGTGCACTTCGGTATTTTTCTTAGCGAGCTCTATTGTTAACCTTCCAAGTTGTCGCATAGATTGTCTAATAAGTTCTGCTTGAGTGCTGCTATATTTTTCATAAAGAAATGCTCTAAATCGTAAAATAAGATCATCTCTGCGACATATTTCAGATATCTCATCATTTCGCAATTTGTTTAAAATATTACAACGAAAATCTTCTGTCATGTTGTGATAAATTCCATTTAGTAAAGAGGCACTCTCAGCAGCTGGTAGTCGTGTTGATTTTTCAGAAGTCAAAATATTTTTGTCTCTCATGCAAACGCATGAGTATTTAAGACGGTGCCATAGATGTCTTTTAATCATAAAACCTAGACATTCAGGACATGGACCATAATCAGAATATTTTAGGAACTTTCTTTCTTGTTCAGTTGGTCTGCGAGTTAAAATAAGTTCTCCTTTTTGTAATAAAAGTACGTCACAATTATGATAAAAATCACCATTACGCGTCAGAGCATTAAAGGCTTCTCGTCGTCTTTTGGAATTTTTCGGCATGCTCAATATTCTGGTACTATCAAACTGCTGCGGGATTCACCACTAGGTAAGTATACAGATTCGGAGCCGCCAGAACCAAAAGGTTCGGGTTCTGATAATAATTCTTCTTCGTCTTCTATATTTATGGCTCTAGCATTTTGTAAATTTGCGAGTTGTTCTGAATTAATTTGTATTGTTGGTATGGGTAGAATTTCTGGACTAATATTGTTCTGGGATTTATCAGTAGATGAAGATATCGATGCATCTTGAAAATCTAAATAAGGAAATACACAATTCATTAATCATGAAATATGGTCCAGTTTACATTGGACGCTTTTTTCCATAACATAACATAACATAAAGTTCATAAGGATACATTAATTTTTTTATATCTAAAAAAATGATCACATAGAACTCAAAAACTAAATATGATTTTTTGAATTTTTAACTTTGAGGGTACGGGCAGCTATTTTTGAGGTCCAGGAAAAATGTGAAAAATTAATCTAGATAAAGTAAGAAAATGTTTTATTCTTTTAAAGTCTTTTTCTTCCATTAAAACGCCCATTTTAATTATCGGTCGAAAATATCACTTGATTTGAAAATTTGAGCATATGATCAATACTAAAGTTCATAAGGATACATTATTTTTTTTATTTCTAAAAAAATGATCACATAGAACTCAAAAACTAAATATGATTTTTTGAATTTTTAACTTTGAGGGTACGGGCAGCTATTTTTGAGGTCCAGGAAAAATGTGAAAAATTAATCTAGATAAAGTAAGAAAATGTTTTATTCTTTTAAAGTCTTTTTCTTCCATTAAAACGCCCATTTTAATTATCGGTCGAAAATATCACTTGATTTGAAAATTTGAGCATATGATCAATACTACAGTCTCTGTATATTTTTGGACGTGTTTTGGGTTGGTATTGGTTTAATCAGAGCTGTTTCGAGTACAAGAAAAAAGTACTCGAGTAAAAGTACAAGGACGTTGAAAAAAATGTACTCGAGTACAACATACAAAAAAATCCAAAAGTACTCATGAGTACAAGTACAAAGTACTTTTCTAAAAACTTTTAAAATGTAATTAAGGTTTCTAGCAAAAAAAAATTGTTAAAAGTTAAACAAAACTAATTATCAGGTTTAGGTCACTTAAAAGTAGTGAGTCATAAAATAATATTTTTAATTTATAAAACTAGTAGAAATAAAATACTTACTTTCAAACATAAAAAAATATTATAATTATGGCGCTAAATTTGAATATGTTGTGCGACTACAGTAGTGGTTATGTTAACTTAATACAAAGATGCCGAGTACAAAAAGTACTCTAGTACAACAAAAGTACTTAAGTACAAATGTACTCGAGCACAAAAAATGTACTTGAGTACAACCAATGAGCCATTCCACGCGTGACGGATGGGATAGTTGCCGTGTTTTTATTTACAAAATAATGTTGTTCTATTGTATTGCCAATGTCAAATTTTTATAAATGGTTCTAAACTGGAGCTGTTTAACAAGGTTTTTATTTGGCAAAATTGGGTATCGTGATTGACTGTCCAATTCCTTAAAAACTAATAATTTAAAGCGTAACGGTCGGGACTTTGCAAAAGTCCCGACCGTTACGCTTTAAATTATTAATTTTTAAGGAATTGGACAGTCAATCACGATACCCAATTTTGCCAAATAAAAACCTTGTTAAACAGCTTTTGTTTAGAGCTATTTATAAAAATTTGACATTGGTAATAGGGTGGAACAATATTATTTTGTAAATAAAAACACGGCGGCTGTCCTATCCGTTAAGCGTGGAATGGCTCCAATGTACTTGTGTCAATTTTTACATTTCTAGATTAAATAAATACAAGTACAAGTACTTTTTTTAAAATGTACTCTGGACTGAGTACCAAGTACTTAAAGTACAAAATTTGAGTACAATTACTCGAGTACCGCACATCTCTGGGTATAACGGGGTAAAATTATTATTATTGTCCCCACCCTCTGTCGCCCCTATCGGCTAATATGTATTGTGTTCTATTAGCACCATAGGTACCAACATGACCTGTTACCATAGGCGCCATTTTATTATTAACTTAGGGCCAGTGGCGGCTGGTGGATTTTGGGTATACCGATATCTTAGTTATTAGACATGGGACCCACTCCAAACTTATATGAGTTTATAATGACAATAAATAAACAAATTCTGCGCAAGCAGAATTTAAATTTAAGTTTGCAAAAAAAGTTAGTATTTTAACTGGCCGTACCAGCCCCCTGTCCCCCTATTTAAGATTATTCAAATTAAAGTGGTGCAAATCATAATTCACTATAGTTTACCGATACGTTTTAAAATTTATTAAAAAAAAATTAAAATGGTATTAAACCTGTAATTCTTGGATTTTTTAAATAAATTTTAAAACGCATCCGTAAACTTTAGTGAATTATGATTTGCACCACTTTAATTTAAATAATTTTAAATAGGGGGGCAGAGGGCTGGTACGGCCAGTTAAAATACTAACTTTTTTTAGCAAACTTAAATTTAAATTCTGCTTGCACTGAAAAAATTGCATCATACAAAGTCAAATATATAGTGTAGTTGACCCACACAACGAAAAACGTACGTAATATTAATTAAAAAAAACATTAACGCAATGATTTTTTACATTAATTTTGCTCCGATGCTCAAAATCATTACCACAATTCTTTTAAAGTATTACTCAATGTACAAGGACGTAATATTAATGCTTGGCGGACATTGATTTTAATCAGGAAGATTTCAAATAAAAGTACTGATATTAATGACCATTGACATGGATTAATGTCCTAGTACATTAATTCTATGCCCAGTAAACATCAACCAATTAATAAATTTTTAATCAATTAACAATTAAAGAACATTATCCCAATCACCTAATATACATTAATCGATATCGGTATACCGGAATGGATATAAGTAGTTAAGAGAGCGGGTTTCAGCGTCAAAGTCGATGGCATGTGTTACCTTTCAGGATTTTCAGTGCCGAAGAAGTGTTTTTCAGGATGTCTTCGGCTGAATTTCCGGATTTTCAGGATTTTCAGGATGTCTTCAGCGCCGAAGACATGGACCTTCTGGTTTTTTCAAGGTCATTTCAGGATTTCAGGATGTCTTCAGCAGATGCAGACAATGACCAGAAGGTCCTTTTCAGGGAAATTTCAGGATTTCAGGATGTCTTTGTCTGCTGACGACAATAACCAGAAGGTCCTTTTCCTGAAAGATAAGGACCTTTAGAGGTCCTGGTTTATCTCTAGATCTTTAAGTTGGTACAACTGTCTAACTAGATTTATGTTGGTAGTAACTAAAATTTTATAAAAAAATAGAAAAAAAAAGTTTACGCTAGCCAAGACTAGCCTAGCCTAGCCTTGGGTATAGTTGGTTAGGAAAATATAAACACACACAATTTATATTAAATTTTTTATTTAAAAATTATTTTACATATTGTTATTTAAATAATTATTAAAATACAAATACAAATTAAATGACATTTTTTTTATCTATCCAACTGTTATGCTTATCACTAAATCCTAACCATTTAACAAAAACTTTATTTTTTTGTCTTTTTAATACTTTTTCCACCAGATAAACATCAGGATGTTTAACTTTTTGTAATTGTTCTTTGTAGAAACCACCCAATACGTTTTCACCGTTTGTATCTTGAAGCAAATAGGTAGCTGGATTGGTGTACTGCACTTTTTTTATTACAAAAATTTCTGTCGACCAATTTGGCATGTATTGTTTATCAAAGACTCCTCTAATTTTTGAAATGCGCACATGATCACCAACATGAAATTTTACATCCGATTCACTCATTTTAATATGACTATAGGCTGTTTTTAAAATGTTGTTTGCATTTTTCTCACTCACATATGTCGGTTTCATATGAATGGTTCTATGTTTAGTATTATTATATTTGAATACAATTTGTGATAACAAGTTGACCCATTTGTAGTTTCCTTGAACGTTAAACTCTTTCCACATTAGATTTTTTAACGTTCTATTAACGCGTTCAACAATGGAAGCCTTTTTCTCGCTATACGTACTGTAATGATTGACTTTATATTTTTGAATGAGTTTTTTAAATTCTTCGTTGTAGAATTCTTTTCCCAAATCGGTTTGAATATTTTGTGGAACTTGTTCTTTAAAAACCTTTTCCATTGCATTGCAAACTTCCACAGCACTTTTATTTTTTAATGGATATGCCCACACATATTTAGAAAAACAATTTATAACAACCAAAATATACTTGTATCCATTATTTATTTTCGAATATGGTATCATTTCCACTAGGTCTGCTTGAAAAAGATCCTTAAATGATTTTATGATGACTCTACGTCTTTTAAAATTAATTCTAGCTGGTTTATGAAGTTCTTTAACTACATCTCTCTTAACATCAGTGATAAATTTGTTGTTCTTTTGTTTTCGTTTCATATTTATGCTATAACTTTAAGCTCTCTCAGTTCTTCAACAATTGATACTATTTCCTTATCATGTGCGGTGTGTCCTGCTTGCTGTGATGCAATTAATTCACGCAGTCTCTCTACCAACTCGTTTGGATCATCAAAATAAACATAATCGATTTTATTGTTGGTTGCTTTTAAAAATATCCCCTTTCCATTGGTAAGTGGAGCCAAAATGTTGATATATTTTTTTGAATTATCTTCTACAATGTTCTGATTGGCCTTATAAAATCGACGGTGTGCGTTTGTTTTTAACACAATCTGTCTATATACTTTTTCATCCTCTTCTGAAAATCCTTTCGGTTCCTTTTTAAAGAGTAATTCATACAGTCCACGAGTTCCTTTGTATTTTTTATTTTTAACCACAATATCTGAACCATCTATTATTAATTGAGAATCTCCAATGTAAAATTTTTCTAGTGCAGGTTCAAATCGTACCCCATACTTATGATCAAACTGATTTTCATTATCTTCATACATTTCAGTCACATATTTTCTTGGTAATGTCTCATCATATTGATCAAGATAATCAATAAAACTTTTGTTCTCTCTTTCTTCTCTTTTCAATTTTTCAAAGGTTCTTTGTTTTTCATCTTCATCTTCTTCATCATTAATTTCATCTAATATGAAACGTTTTAATGAACTAACATCATCTTCTTTGTTATTCATAAACATTGATGACATAAACGATGGAGATGATGCAACCTCAGCTCTTCTTTTTTTAATTTTCGCAGGATTGGTTGGTGTTGAATAATTATATGGTATCATAGACATGTTGTTGACTTCTTGTTTTATATTTTGTGGTTTAACTTTTTCATCAGTTAATAAGGGTGATGATGTAGAAGATACCTTCGTTGGAATTTTAGTTGTAGTTGTTTGTAGCTCGCTTTGAATACTTTTCAATTGTTTTGTAATTGGAAAAAATATTTTTTCTTGTACATTTTCTCCTTGTTTTAGTAGTTTGAATTTCTCTTTAATGTTTTTTCGTTTTTCAATCAATCTTTTCTTTAAGTTTTTTGCTTGTAAATCCATTGTAACACACACAAACACATACGTTCAATAAGCAAGACCTAAACATGAATGAGCTAAAGTATGAGGTTATTCAAGGTTTATATAATGATCAAAACCCATTATGTAACGTCCACCGTTTATCTTATCATCCTTAAAAATGGTAAGGAATCCATATGGACGTTTCCAACAGTATGAACAAATATTTTTGAAATTGTCAAACGACATATCACTTCCAACATGATCGTTATAGACATGTTTTAAATTTAATTCATCTTGTTTAAATAGAACCATCACGTTAGCATTATCTCGAATCAAATGTTTGGGAATTTTAGCGTAGGTTTGACATAAATAAAACGAGTCGATATGGTTATGGCGACCCATACTGAAATATTCACGAATAACCTCCTGGTTATCACACGCTACATCATCAAAAATAAAAATAGAGTTGGGCTTGGCTTCAGACGGGTGAGCAATACTCTCACTAACATTAAACCCATAATAATTGATCCCCTTTATTGGTCGTAATAGCTCAGCCAGATAGGTGTATTTAGGTTGATAGAGCGATCGTGAATAAACGTACACATTTTCAAATTTTAATCCATTCTCATGTTCAATGAGGGAAATCATTACGTTAGTTTTTCCACAGTTTGAAGGACCAACAACCAGACATCGAATAGTGGATGGAAATAGTTTACCATGTTTTTCATTTTTTCGAAAGTCCTTACCATCATCATTGTTTTCAACGTTTAAACAAGTTTTTTGTTTAACAATTTTCATTTTTTTCATTACACACACACACAAGCAACTCCGCTAATGTATCACACATAACATAAATACAAGTGATTGGTGTATTTGATGTTAGTTGTTGGAGTGTAGCCAGACGTTTGTGTGTTTTGCTAAAATATGAAATATTATATTGGATCTGGATTATTAAATAGTGCAATAAATAAATTACCCTTTGAGTTACACCTTCCTGGTTACAACTACTGTGGTCCTGGAACAAAATTACAAGAACGATTAACTCGTGGAGATAAAGGTGTTAATGGGTTGGATACTAGTTGTCGAAAACACGATATTCAATATTCGTTAAACAAAGATTTAAAGTTGCGTCACGAGGCTGATAGAATATTAGCCGATGAATCAATGAGTCGATTTAGATCTAAAGACGCATCGTTCGGTGAAAGACTTGCCTCTTTAGCTGTGGCAGGAGCTATGAAAACAAAATTAAAACTTGGAATGGGAATAAAAATGGATAAAACGAAAATAAAAAAATGTGTTAACCAATTGACAAAAATAAAACGTTTGATTGAAAAGGTTGTAAGTGAAGTGGAAAAATGTGAGAGTATGTTGTCATCATCAAATAATCAAATCTGCAAAAATACGAATAAAAAAATAAAAATAAAAAAAGCTAAAACTCAGCCGCCTGTAGTGGTTATTGATGAAGAAGATGGTGATTTGGATAAACGTGAAAACAAACTAAATATTCCAGAAATGCACCGTCGCCGTAATCGTACTCGTAAAGTCATTGTGAAAAGAGGACAAAAACAACAACAACGAAAAAGAAAAGCATCAGAAGAAGTTGTTGGGGTTCATAGTAGTAATAATTTGAGTGAAATTAAAAAACCCAAGATTGATCTAAATGAACCGCTTATTTATCCTTCAGCCAACCCTAGAAAACGTAGTAGGAAGGATGCGGAGGAGGAGCTTGAGGTTGAGGAAGTCAGCAGTGATGAATTTTCAACTAAAAAACAAAGAATCTACTAAAAAGACATCCAGTCAAGTGTTGGTATTCATGCTGTAAATATGTCTATTAAAAAAGTTAAAAGGAAGAGTAAGAGTAGACAAAAACAACAACAACAACAACGAAAACCAACCTCAAAGCGTAAATGTAGTAGAAAAATTGGATTTCAAACAGCTGTTGGAAAAATTAAAAAACGTATTTTACAAAGCAAAGCTAAAAATTTGGGTGAAGCTATACATGTAGCATTGAATACAGCAAAACAGATTAAAAATCAAATAAAAAAACCCAGTGTTGATCGTGTTATTAAAATTCCAAAAGTCGGTGGTTTCCTACCTCTTATTCCTATATTTGCTGGACTATCAGCATTGGGAAGTTTAGCAGGTGGTGCAGCAGGAATAGCAAAGGCTATTGGTGATGCTCGGTCAGCTAAAAAACAACTTGATGAATCAAATCGTCACAATCAAACAATGGAGGCAATAGCAATGGGAAAAGGACTCTATCTAAAACCATACAACAAGACTGGATTAGGTATTTTTTTACGTCCGTTTCAAAGCAATCAGGCCTACCGCTAATGCTACTTAATCAACTTCCAAACCGACCACTAAGCAATATTGATTTAATAACCTATGCCAAATTATGCAAGATTCCAAATTTTCGTGGTGTTTTTATGCGTGATGGATTACCACGGAAAATACATTTGAAAAATGAACGGGGTGTGATAAATTTGGATTCAACAAATGGTCCTGGGACTCACTGGACTGCATATAAAAAAGCCGGTACAAAAGTTGTTTACTTTGATAGTTTTGGAAATTTTCAACCCCCCTTGGAAGTTGTAAGATACTTTAAATCTAATGGTTATGTGAACGTTTTTTATAATTACAATAGATATCAAACTTTTAATACTGTTAATTGTGGTCATTTATGTTTAAAATTTTTAATAGAATAAAAATAAATAAATAAATAAAAAAATCTTTTATTCACCTTTATATTTTTAAAATAATAGTTAAGCTACCACCATGATGGATCCTCCTACATTCTTCCTGTAGATTTATTTCTACTACTCTGTCATCAAATAAATCAATCACCCCCTCGTTTTGTGATAAAACAAAATTAAATGGGGGTGAAGGAGGAGGAGGAGGAGGAGTAAATTCAGGCATGGGTGACCGACATATTAGATCTCTAAAAAAAAAAAAAAAAATAATAAAATTCTTAGATAATTGTAATGTATTACATTGTCCCATCCTGTTCCTCTTCTTGTTCATCAAGTGATAGTTTAACAAATGCTTGAGGAGGATGAGGAGGAGGACTGGGTGTTGATTCGACGACGTTGTCGTCACTAGAAAAAAATAAATAAATAAAATTTTAAATAATTAGATAATTGTGGTATTACATTGCCTCAGTATAGAACCTTTCCAACCTTTCCATAAGCTCCAAGTCTACCAACTCTTTAAAAGTTGGTAGAGCTAAAGGAGGTTGAGGTTCATAGTCCTCCTCCATGGTTAAATCTATTATGGTACTAAAAATAATAATAATAATAAAATTTTTAATATTTAGATAAAATTTTGATGTATTACATTGCCTCCTCTGCATTTTCATCATCCAATACAATAATTTCCCCATGTTTTTGAAGAAATCTATAAAAATTAATTTATATTATAAAAACAATCATATATAAATATAACTTACTCTTCTATGGTCATTGGCTCTGGTTTTAAATCACTAAAATAATAATTTAATCAAAAAAAATAATAATATAAATAATAAATAACTTACTTTTCTTCAAAATACCTCCTTGGATTAATAGGGGGTGTATATCTGTTTGTAGTTAATTCGCTTTCGCTGTATGTATGAGACATATTGATTGTATACTAAGAATTGAGAATAGCATGATTGAGTTTATATATCCATTTACTTACGTGTTTGCAATTATTTATCTGATAAATTATAATTTTAATTAGTTGACCTTACTTTTATTTCTATGAATAATTGCAAACTTTCACAATATTGCATCAGCTTTTACATACATTGTATTTAATTAGTTGTTTTTCCTTGAATTGCTTATTATTTATAAATTGCAAACTTTCACAATATTGCATCAGCTTTTACATACATTGTATTTAATTAGTTGTTTTTCCTTGAATTGCTTATTATTTATAATTAAATAATGCAAAACAAGATGCAAAATTTTCCTAATTGCGTCAAACCAATTTATTATTTTAATTAGCTGCATTTTTGCCTTTTACTTATAGATAAAATATTCCGAAATGCGTCATTAACTTGGTATAAAACGGGCATGTTGGAATTAACTAGACATCAGTTATCAGTTGTGTGTTAACGTTAAAAGTCTGCTACAATGTTTATTCTCGACGTACAAGGATTTGAATATCCTTCCGAAGGGTTGCCGTTCTGGCCAAAAGAAATTTCAATACTAAATACCATCACAAGGGAAGTAGTTCACAGGTTTGTGAGACTTCCTTTAAAGGTTGATTCCTTTGGGCTGAGGTTGAGAGCCCATCTAAATTTTACCACGCACAACATTCATGGGTTGGAGTGGGAAAAAGGAAATAATGAAGAGGAAGAAGAATCAAGAGATGAAACTGGTCGTCTACCTTATTGGATGGATAATGGAAATTGCAATTTAAGCGTAGACACCAACTATTTGGAATTTGAGAAAATATGTGAGTTTTTGAAATTTTATTTATCTTCATCTCCATTTGAAAATGTTATGGTAAAGGGAGATATGAAAAAAAAATGGTTGGAAAAAATTATATCAAATACTGTAATAAACATGGAAGATGAAGAAAAATGTATGAATTTGGCGAAAATGAAAGAAATATTTAGGAGTCACCATTGTGGAAAACATGCTATAAATTCTTTAAATTGTACCCAAGAAAATGTTTATTTTATTTACTTTTGGCATGAACTTTGTCTTTAAAAAATAAAAAAAATAAATATTGTGACTTCAAATTATATAAATATAAATGTACTTTTTCTTGTATCAAGAAAATGTAATAAAAAATAAATAAAACTATATATATATAAATTTTTCTTGTTTTTATTTTATATCAATACATTATTAATTTACAGAATTTTTACAGTACTGGTAAGTGGATTATATTTAACTTTTTTATCGTGTAAAATCAACAGGTAAGCACTGGTGATTGCAGAAACATCTTGATCAGTCTCCCACTCCAAACGAATGTCGACACTACCATTTTTTATGGTATCCATTTGGTAACAACAATCGATTACAATTAGTGGAGCCCTTTCAATAAATTTCTCCAATGTGAAACAAGGCTCACCCACATCTTTGTAGTAGTAGGACTGTTGAAATCGTGCATACATTTCATACAACAAGGCATACTGTTGTTTGCTAAAGTTTAGGTTTAAATTATCGTAGGGGTAAACCTCAGAGTTCAAATGGACTTTGAAGTTTCTTATTTGGCAGTGATCAAACATGCTGCAATCCTTATTTGGTTGATTTTTTCTATTTGTTTGGAATCCAAATATTATGTAGCGAGGTTTTTCCAATTGATTAACAGCCTTTACGTTCCAAGTGTGTTGTTTTGTTTGATTTAAAAGTGGGTATTCATGAAGTTCCCATCCACGAAACGACATAGTCAGGTCTCTACCCTTTTCAATGACTGATAACAATTGTAATTTGGTTTGATCATCCACTTGGACATGTTCAACTTTCCACACAATTTTATCTAGACGTATTTGTGGCTTTTCTCCTGCTTTTGTGGTGAAAACTGAATTGTTATCGGTAAAACTTCTGATTAATGTCAGCTCTTGTCGTACATTTACAACAACCTTACGAAAGTCCTCAAATACACCCATTAGAATTTTTAACGGTATGCAAGCGTTGAAATGCCCATCACCTTGATGTACAATTTTCACATAATCCAAATGATTCCAACCTGCATTTTGATATCGTGTGCAATCCTGATTGGTAAAACTAACGTAACCTTTCATAAGAGACGTTAAACCAGGGTTTCGAACTCTATCAACCACCACTCCAGCTATTTCATATCTTATTTCATCGAATAAAAACATTAGAGCCATATTGGTTAGTTGAATTGTACCACTAGCCTTATTTTGTTCATCGAGTACGACCCCTTCCAATTCAAGGAAACTTTCAGCCGGGTAGGTGTAGACATTTTGAGTTTGTATCGGGATACGCACCTCATCTGATTTATTCAAACTTGAATTTGCATAAGGTAAATAACTATGGTACTCTTTATTGACAATTGAATTATCAGTGATAATCCGCTCTCCTACGTTTAGAATGTTCATTTTTGTATATACCACCACAAGTACACAGTAGTCTTCTTAATTGATCACCTGATGTTTGAAGTCTGAATCGACACCAACACCAAAATTTGGATTTTTTTTTATTTTTTTCACGAATTTTAATGATGTAATAACTTAAAGCCCAAGGACTGTAAAAATGCTCTATTCTTCGAAGTCAACGACTTAAGCTTCGTTGGCACACTAACAGCTGCTGCTGCTGCTTTTCTTGATTAAGTATTTATTCTAGACGATAATGATGATGACGATAACGAAGCTTGAGGGTTATATTTGATTACCATTTCACTTTTTTCAAATGCACTCGTACTGTGATCATCTCACCATTAAAATTAACCAAATTACCATCTTGATCGGTTATTTTAAGAATAATTTCATCCAAATAACGAGTGTTGATTGGTAGATAAATTACGTTGGAGGGGGATTCAACAATTTTATAACCAGGGGCTACTGTTGGGTAGAACATATGTAGGATATGAGAGAGTTTATCGTTGTTGTATGAATTGGCAGTCAAATTACATTCAACACATATAGTATTAACTTTGGTTATGTTGATTGGATTTTTAGACTCGTGTTTTATATTTTTTTTCAATTCTTTTTCCTCAAATCCCAAGAGACTACCTATCGAACGAGGCTTGTTAAAGTATATAGTTCCAGTTGATTTTATCTCACATCTCATAGTATTTCGATTAACTTTCATTATCAAATAATGATTGACAATTGAATTATCAGTGATAATCCGCTCTCCTACGTTTAGAATGTTCATTTTTGTATATACCACCACAAGTACACAGTAGTCTTCTTAATTGATCACCTGATGTTTGAAGTCTGAATCGACACCAACACCAAAATTTGGATTTTTTTTTATTTTTTTCACGAATTTTAATGATGTAATAACTTAAAGCCCAAGGACTGTAAAAATGCTCTATTCTTCGAAGTCAACGACTTAAGCTTCGTTGGCACACTAACAGCTGCTGCTGCTGCTTTTCTTGATTTAGTATTTATTCTAGACGATAATGATGATGACGATAACGAAGCTTGAGGGTTATATTTGATTACCATTTCACTTTTTTCAAATGCACTCGTACTGTGATCATCTCACCATTAAAATTAACCAAATTACCATCTTGATCGGTTATTTTAAGAATAATTTCATCCAAATAACGAGTGTTGATTGGTAGATAAATTACGTTGGAGGGGGATTCAACAATTTTATAACCAGGGGCTACTGTTGGGTAGAACATATGTAGGATATGAGAGAGTTTATCGTTGTTGTATGAATTGGCAGTCAAATTACATTCAACACATATAGTATTAACTTTGGTTATGTTGATTGGATTTTTAGACTCGTGTTTTATATTTTTTTTCAATTCTTTTTCCTCAAATCCCAAGAGACTACCTATCGAACGAGGCTTGTTAAAGTATATAGTTCCAGTTGATTTTATCTCACATCTCATAGTATTTCGATTAACTTTCATTATCAAATAATGATGATTAGTTTGTGGTGCTGGTTGTGGTGGTGATTTTGTCTGCGTTGGTGTTTTCGAAGGAAAAATAAATTTACCAATTTCCTTGGAAACGTGCTCATGTAGAAAAGTAGCCAAATCTTCAACTTCATACGTTCCTACTGGTATCTCAAATACTTTATTTTCAAAATGAAACAAGTTGTTTGTTTCATCAACATTTGCAATTGTGTGATAGGTGGCTAAATTAATTAAACCCAATTCATATTGTTCATCGTCGTTTAGAATTATCGGTGGATACAGTTTTAATTGTAAAATGGATTCACGCCCAGAAAATGTAAAATTATAACTCATTTTGAACTTTGAACACAACAACAACAAGTACTGATGCTATTAGTACTACTGTTTAAACTCAACTAATCACATTAACCTATTTAAAATAGTTTTATAAGGTATAAATGAAATTCAATTTAAATTCTTTTATTTTTTATTTTAAATCCATCTTTGAGATTGAGTAAAATGATCATTTTGATCATTATCATCTTCAGTAAATTCTTCAATCAGAGGACGAGGTGGTGGTGGAGGAGGTATATACTTTTGTTTCTTAGAGGATGAGGGACCAGCCTCCAAACGATTAAGATCTTCATCAGGATCTTCATCAACCAAATTGAAACGCCACCTCCTTACAACCTTTTCCAAAATTTTGAATTCCTGCTCATTTTCAATCTTTACCCTCATTAATTTAATTGGAAGGTTTCCAAATTTTTTCTTAAGGGTAGCTGCTTTTGGTGTATATGATAAACTAATAAACACTTTATCATCACTCTTTTTTAATTCTTCTACACTATGGCTGTAGACAAAAATTAAATTTATATAAAATTAGTTAACAAATTAAAATAAAAAAAATAATAAAAATACTTACGTAAACAGCTGCTTACAAACAACAAACAATTCATTGGTTGATAAATTATCTTTATCAGCGGAAAAAAGCACCAAAGTAGATGGAATATTTGCCATTTTGTTTTAGGCTGCTGCTGCTGGTTACTGTGTGTGTGTGTGTGAACTGTGAAAATCTATACCTTACATTTCGCATTTATACTCACTTATTGACGCAATTCTTATCCTTGGAATTTGTTTTTCTGCATTTTAGAAAAACATGTTTTGCTTACAATGTCAAATTATCCAATTAAAATTTAATTAAAACATGTTTTGCAATTATTAGCATATTAAAGGTTAACACATGCAAGATAAAACTAATTAAAATTGCTTTCGTAATAGATATTTATCCAATTAAAATTTAATTAAAAACACACACACGTGCAAGAATTTTGTTTTTCTGCATTTTAGAAAAACATGTTTTGCAATTATTAGCATATTAAAGGTTAACACATGCAAGATAAAACTAATTAAAATTGCTTTCGTAATAGATATTGAAGGTTAACACATGCAAAATAAAACTAATTAAAATTTAATGATTAAAAAGTTTAAAGGTTGAAAAATACAAATAGTATATATACCAAGTCTGTTTATCGTAAATTATCAGTTTCTTCAAACAAGTTCAAGAGTATGAGTGTCCAAACCATTGATGATATTTCAAAAGAGACTGTGACTAAATGTGAACAAGTAAGTAGACTATGTAAGACAAAGGATGAATATGAATGTTTTATTAAGCATTTAAAAAAAATTATTTTAATTTTAAAAAGAGCTATAAAAAATAAAAGCGAATGTGTGGGAAACTTTTCAAAAATTGAATCCAACTTGGCTTTGTTGAAAAATTATTTGGAAATTTTTAAAAAAAGCAAAGCAAATGTTGTACGTGGTGGTGCTTTAGGTAGAAAATTTTCACAAATTAAGTGGCAGGATGTTGAATCCTGTTTTAATAGTAGAATTCGTACTGGAATTATTAGCAATTTAGGAATTAAAGACCCCAGGGTATTTTTACAACAAGCATTTCGTAGTTTTAATATAAAAATTAAAGGGGGATTGAAAAAGTCAATGTTGAAAGTTAATGTAGTTTTTGCTGGATTGTTTATAAAACCTCAAAATGATGAAACTTCTGTTAAATTTTTTCAAACTAAAAATGAAATTATTAATGTTAATACCAAATTGAAAGATTGGTTTAAAGAATTTGTTGTTGATAGAATTTTATTAAAGTTGAGCGAGTTTCAGGAGAAGGATAGCGGTTGGAGTTTGTATAAAACTTTACATTTAAAGGTTAATATTAACCATTATAACCCCATTAAACCGGGCGTTTCTACATACGTTTCCCTACCAGCTTTTGTTGCAAAGTCGAAAAGTGTCATCAATATTCGAAATAATGATGAGTATTGTTTTTTATATTCAGTAGTTGCTGCATTATTTCCAGTTACTGAAAATTCAACACGTTTATCATCTTATCCAAAATGTGTAAATGTGTTAAAATTTGATAATATACAGTTTCCCATTGCTCTAAAAGATATTCCAAAATTTGAACTTATGAACAAACTATCTATTAACGTTTTTACCATTGATGATGATGAGGAAATTGTACCATTATGTTTAAGTAAATTTGATTATTCACCAAGAATTAATCTTCTTTTAATTTCAACTTTAAATGATCAAATCATTATGAGCAATGAACCTTGTAGTAGTCGAGATGTTGTTGTTAATTATCATTTTGCATGGATTAAAAATTTATCTCGACTACTCAATAGTCAAGTGGGTAATGTTAGAAATGGAAAATGGTATTGCGAACGATGTCTTAACCATTTTTTAACTGAAGCTGTTTTAAAAAAACATTTGGATACTTGTAAAATGTTGAATGATGTAAAAGTTGAACTTCCCACTGAGGAAACTAAATTTTTACGTTTTAAAAATTATAAAAATGAAATAATGGTTCCCTATGTTGTTTATGCTGATATTGAAAGTATTTTGGTTGATTACAAGGATAATAATATTAATATTGGTTGTAAGAGTAAAAAAATTCAAAAACATGAAGCATTTAGTATTGCTTACTATCTAAAATGTTCCTATAACGATAGCCTTTCTAAATTTAACATATTTACTGGTAACAATTGTGTTGAGTGGTTTGTTTATGAGCTCGAAAAGATTGCTAAACGTGTTGACTATTTGCTGTCGAATCCTGTTCCAATGCAAAAGTTGTCACCAAAAGATGAAAAGGAAAAATTTTATTTAGCAACAAAGTGCATTTGCTGTGGAAAAGGGTTTGTGGGAAAAGATAAGGTTAGGGATCATGATCATTTTACTGGACTATTTCGGGGTGCGGCTCACAATTCTTGTAACTTAAAATTTACAAAATCTCACGCTATACCTGTAATTTTTCACAACTTGAGTGGATATGATAGTCATTTTTTAATTAAAGCTCTTAGTACCAAGGTAGAGGGTAACATGAATTTATTACCAATAAATATGGAGAGGTATATTTCTTTTACCAAATTCATTAAACATACCAAAGTTAACTTGCGATTTGTGGATTCGTTTAGATTTATGGCTAGTAGCATTAACAAGTTATCTTCTTATCTGAAGGAATCTGAAAAGTTGATTACTAAAAAATTTTATTTGGATGATGAACAGTTTAAGCTGGTTACAAGAAAGGGGGTATTTCCCTATGAGTACCTTAATAGTTGGGAAAAATTACAGGACACTTGTCTACCACCAAAAGAAATGTTTTTTAGTAAAATAACAAATGAAGACATTTCAGGTCACGAGTACAATCACGCCCTTAATGTATGGCGAGAATTTGAGTGTAAAAATTTACAACAATATGCTGAATTGTATTTGAAAACTGATGTTTTACTTTTGGCTGATATTTTTGAAAATTTTCGAAAGTCTTGTTTGGAAACTTACAAGTTGGACGCGCTTCACTATTTAACAGCTCCTGGTTTGGCCTTTGATGCTATGCTTAAGGTTACTAACGTTTGCTTGGAACTCTTGACTGACATGGATATGGTTAATTTTATTGAAAGAGGTATACGGGGTGGTATTTCACAATGTTCCAATCGCTACGCTAAAGCAAATAATAAATATATGGGTACAGATTATAATACCAATGAACCTCAATCTTATCTAATGTATTATGACGTAAATAACCTTTACGGAGCCGCTATGAGCTTTGCCCTACCTACAGGTGATTTTCAGTGGTTAGATGTTGATAATGATGACATAAATATATTTAAAATTTCCAAGTCTAGCGAATACGGGTTCATTTTTGAGGTTGATCTTTGTTACCCTCGTGAACTTTTTGAAACTCATAAAGATTTACCTCTTTGTCCTGAGCATTTGGTACCACCAATTTCATCCGACTTGAAAAATCCCAAATTATTGACTACTTTTTATGAAAAGAAGAACTATGTAATTCACTATTTAAATTTAAAACAAGCTCTACAGTTGGGAGTGAAAGTGGATAAAATTCATAGATGTTTAAAGTTTAATCAATCGACTTGGTTAAAAAAATATATAGATTTAAATACTGAATTACGAAAGGCAGCTGGAAATGAGTTTGAAAAAAATTTATACAAGCTTATGAATAACGCAGTGTTTGGAAAAACTATTGAAAATGTAAAGAAATACAGAACGGTGAAATTGGTTACCAAGTGGTCGGGACACTATGGTGCCAACTATTATATATCTCAACCGAATTTTCACAGCTGTAAAATTTTCAATGAAAATATGATACTTGTCGAAATGAAAAAACTTAAAATTAAATTTAACAAACCGATTTATGCGGGTATGGTAATTTTGGACATTTCCAAAACCTTTTTATATGATTTTCATTACAATTACATTAAGACAAAATTTGGCTCAAATGCAAAATTACTTTACACCGATACTGACAGTTTAATTTATCAATTTTTCGTTGATGATATTTATGCTTGCATACGTGAGGATATTGATAAATTTGATACATCTGATTATCCTCCTGATAATATCTATCAAATACCATTGAGGAATAAAAAAGTTTTGGGGCTAATGAAGGATGAAAATAACGGAAGTCTAATGACTGAATTTATTGGACTACGCTCAAAAATGTACTCGTTAAAGGTGAGGAAAAGTGATGAAGAAATGCAACAGCAAGTGGAAAAATTGCGAAAAGCTGAATTCTCATCAAGAGATATTGACTGCTTTATCTCAAACTTTGGTCTTGTTAAAAAGGCTAAAGGGATTCAAAGATCGACAGTTAAAAATATTACTTTTGAGGATTATTTTAATACACTCTTTCATTTTAAAACTCTACCTGTAATACAAAATTCCATTGTATCCTTGCGGCATGAGGTATTTACAATCCAACAAGAAAAAATTGCTTTAAGCCCTTTTGATGATAAAAGAATTGTTGATTATAGAAAGACGACTGATACAGTTCCCTGGGGTTATAACGATTAGTCCTTTGTCTTTGTAGTCTTACTTACTCTAGTGCATACACCACCACCACGCGTACCGGTAATTTTTGTTTTTTTTTTTTTTTTTTTTTTTTTTTTTTGGTTTTTTAATATATTTATTAAATATTGTTATAGATTCAAGAAACCAAGTGGGATAGAGTTTTTTTTGGAAAAATTGGACAAACAACAACAACAACCAAAAGAAATAATTTGGAATTAATACATGACAAGTCTACTTTAAATGAAATCTTGGATAAGTGGGAGCGTGATTTGAATATTCATCAAGAAATTGACACTGAGTATAATTTTATTTTGGATGATTGGTTTTTAATTGGTTTTGACGTTGAAGAATCTACCTCTGGAGATTTCCACGCGTGGGATAATTTTGTAGAAAAACAACGTTCTTTTGAAAGATTTCACTACTTCTTTTTAAATCAATTTATTAAAAAGTCAAAAACATATCCATTTTGGGCAGTTGTAGTACTTTTTATACGATTATATAGCAAATTTCCTAAATTGGATTTACCACACCAAGAGTTTCACGGTCCCTATAGATCTCCAATAGCTTATTTTGATCCAACAAAACCACAAACTTGGAATATAAAGTGTATTGATAAATATCTCACTACTACCAGTGGATACCATGGTTAATGTGGCTGATAATAGTGAATTAGATAATAAACATCAAAAATTAAGAAGTAAAATATTTAGATCACCAATTATTTTCTATGAATTATCTCGATTACTACATAAAAAAAGAACAAAATCACGGGGGTGTGTAAAGTTGGTTAAAAAGGATATACAAAGGTTAATTGAAAAAGCAAATTTAACACCTCAACTAAAGAATAGATGTTTGCAAGAATGGAAAGTGAATGATCCAGAGGCTTGGTCTGACCCTGACTCTGATGACTCTGATGCCACCGTTATTCTTGATAATTAAATTTAGGAAGTTATAAAAGGTATTTATTTTAAATTTGTCTGCTCAGTCATCGTTAATAAACGAATGTTGTATTTTAGTTAAAAAAAATGAAAAAATCTGCTGCTTTGGGACCATATCCAGCTTTCACAAGATGTCCAAATTGTCAACATCAAATTAGGACTACAGTGAAAGTATCTCCAAACAGCAATACACACTTGTTCACTTTGTTATTATGTGTTTTTGGATGTTGGTTATGTTGTTTTGTTCCATACTGCATAGACAGTTGTAAGAGTAAACAACACTCTTGCCCAAATTGTAAAGCATTTATTGGTGAATACAATAGTTAAAGTGCTTAGTCATTAGTTTTTAAATGTATATAAGCGGATAGTTTTAATGGTTTATTTTATTCAAGTTGTAGAGTGTATGCAATAAACATCAAAGCCATGAAAGTATTGTGTTTTATTTTTTGTGGTGTAGCGACGAATTTGGTTGTTGGTAGTGGTGGTGATCAGGATGTTTTTCATACAGAATATTCACCTAAAAATGCTAGTTTATATGTTAATCATGAACTACATAGCAATGGTAGCAGATTGCAAATGCAATTTAATAATCTTTTATCAAAATATCCATACTTATCCATCTTTGCAACGAACACCATAAAAAACCATCAACACTCTAATAATAATAATGTTACATCAACGAGTATGACAACTATATGTAACACCACTACTAGGCATGATGAAGATAATGATGAGTTGATAAAAACAAAAAACGATTTAAAAACTTGCATTATGATTAGTGAGGGATTTCAAAGCGAATCCAATATGTGGAGTGAAAAATATATAGAGTTAAAAATGGCTCCAAAACCTATATGCAATACAACAGCAGCTGCTGGGTTACCACCTCCAACGATGACAAACACGTCTGATTATAAATACCTAATGTTGGAGTGGAACTACTCAAGTTGTGTACAAGAGTTGAAACGATATAAAAACAAATTATACAAATAATAAAATGTAAAATAATTTTTAAATAAAAAATTTAATATAAATTGTGTGTGTTTATATTTTCCTAACCAACTATACCCAAGGCTAGGCTAGGCTAGTCTTGGCTAGCGTAAACTTTTTTTTTCTATTTTTTTATAAAATTTTAGTTACTACCAACATAAATCTAGTTAGACAGTTGTACCAACTTAAAGATCTAGAGATAAACCAGGACCTCTAAAGGTCCTTATCTTTCAGGAAAAGGACCTTCTGGTTATTGTCGTCAGCAGACAAAGACATCCTGAAATCCTGAAATTTCCCTGAAAAGGACCTTCTGGTCATTGTCTGCATCTGCTGAAGACATCCTGAAATCCTGAAATGACCTTGAAAAAACCAGAAGGTCCATGTCTTCGGCGCTGAAGACATCCTGAAAATCCTGAAAATCCGGAAATTCAGCCGAAGACATCCTGAAAAACACTTCTTCGGCACTGAAAATCCTGAAAGGTAACACATGCCATCGACTTTGACGCTGAAACCCGCTCTCTTAACTACTGATATATATATATATATATATATATATATACAGGGTGTCTCAAAAGTCAAGGACAGCAGAAAAGGGGTGGATAGAGGATGGAATTTTAAGTCGATTGAAAAACGGCAAAGACCATTCGACTTAGAATCCCATCCTCTATCCACCCCTTTTCTGCTGTCCTTAACTTTTGAGATACCCTGTATATATGTATATATATATATAAATTATTACACTTACCTTAAGTTTTAACATTAAATCAATTTTTTTGTTGATCAGTTAACAAAAAGAGCTAGAAATATGTAAAAAAATATATTAATAATTATTACTATTAATATTACTTATGTGGTGATGTTCTCTTTAGCCAGTTCCCTTTACAGAAGTTCCCAAACATTTTCTACAGGGTTTATGTCCGGGCCACCGCAAAAACTGGAACTGAAACTTTACATATTTTTAGTCCTTTTTGTAAATATTATGAAACTAAAGATTAATATAAAAAAAATAATAAAAACCCTTGGTAATTTAAAATCCTTATATTTATTACAAAAAATTTATTAAACATAAATAAACCTTAACTTTTTAACATTGTCTTACTTACATTTTAAAAAGTCACATAATACATGGATTTTGGAAAATGTATTAGAATGCTTCATTTTAAAAAAGTAGGTTTCAATAAATGACCAGACCATGACACATTCTTCTGGGAAATGAAGGTTAAAACGATACCTTTTTGACATTAGCTTTTTAAAGTAAAATAATAATTATAATTCGTTTACTTGAATGTTCACAGGACTGCACTTTTTTATATTTCATATAATAATAAACATAAACGCACAACAATCGGGATGGGCGGGCAAGCACGTCGCAACAGGATTAACAGGAATATTAAACTGTTGTTAAATTGTTTTCTTACTTGCATTTTTAGGTGGTGGGAAACAACAGGGCCTAATATTAATGTATTTAGACATTGGCTTAACGTATTTGGCGATTAAGTTATGATTTGCTGTATTATTTAATATGTTAGGGCATTATATTCATGCTGAGGGTACATAAGTTGATGTCTATATAGGCATTAATGTAATAATTTTAGATTATTAAATTATACCATTTAGAGTATTAATCTATTAAGCCGACATTTATTTTATCACTGAGCAATGATTAACTAATGTACTCTAGGTTATTGATTTAATGTAAATAATCATAGTATTAATGTAAAATATCATTGTCTTAATGTATTTTGGCTAAAAAATAATTAAATTCTTGCACTAGGATAATGACCAGGCAGACATTGTTACAATCCAATAATACATTAACTAATATTTTTTAAGCATTATCATAATTACTTGATTACATTAATACTATGAAAAGGACATTATCGTAATGATTTTGCACTTAATGATCGTAGGACATTAATATCAGGTACGATATTTTTTTCTGTGCCTGTATAAATAAATTTATCACGATTTATTTGAATTAAAAATTTTCGCATATTTGTTATCCATCTATCACATGTTTGAATAATACATTTTTGAATGAAAAAGACGAGTTTCTTAAATCAAATAATTTATATTAATCAATTTATGATCATTTGGCTTAAATGCGTCTATTATTAGCTGAAGTCTATAAATTTGTAGCACCTTTAAAGTTAAAATATTTGCATCAATAATTTCAAAAGCTAAACGAATAAAATAAATATTTGTTACAAGTTTTTTCGTACTTGGCGTACGATTTTAATATGCCCGCAACGCATGCGCCGGCGATGTTTACAAAGCACAGGACGCGTCGTTTAGTTTATGGTGTATGTGCGTCAAGATACATACACCTTAAGATAGGATGGTGCGCATGTTGGGCGGGGCTTAATTACGTCACTTGATGAGTGTTTTTAAATCTTTAACGTGCTTTTTAATTATCTGCTGCTAAAATTCTTGTTTTTGCGATGCTTTTGGATGTTAACGTGCTCTACTTTTTGTTTAACTTGTCATTTTTGTGTTCGGTAAGGTTCGAATTACTTTTCAGCGTTCAATTTATTGTTATTGCGTTAGGTTAACCTGTTAGGTTTGTTTATTATTGTTTTTGTGTTGCGTTAACTTGTTTTGTTTGTGTTTTAGATTGTATAGTGCCATTTGCATTTATTAAAATGCGGTGTGGCATATTTGGATGCAATTCGGACAACCAGTCCAAGAAAAACCCTTTAAATAAAAACATTAAATTTAATCGATTCCCCAAAAAGTTTGTGGAAACAGTGTTTAAATTCCACAAAAATAATTGACAATATTAAGACCGCTTCTGTTTCCTATAAACATTTTCTGGACAGTGACTATAAGTTTAATTTAAAACACCAACGCTTAAACTACAGCCCTAAATGTTATCAAGGACTGAAAGCATCTATTATCCATATTATAACACTTTCTTCAATATTAAGTTTAATAAAAACGCACTATGTACAGATATTTCTCTATTTTCTTTGATAATATTACGTGTATTCGTGTATTTGCACGGCAACTACTCATCAAGTGACGTCATGCGCGGGACGAATCAAAACTCGTACACGGGAGCATCCAGCCCTGTATGTGCGTGCTCCATAATCGACAGTCTACAACAGAGACAAGGGAGAGAGAGACGATTCTTTAAATAGGAATTTTGGTCAACAATTTAGATGCGCAGGGCTGCACGCAGATTTTAATGTAAATCGGTTTCTGCGCATTTGTTGGCAGCCCTGCACTGAAAAGTCGCAATTATGTTCTTTACTGTCATTTTCTGTCGTCTGTCAGTATATACTAAAAGTGCTTCTGTGGTTTTGTTTATAAGTTTTATTTATAAGTTATTATACCTTGTTATTTTTAGCAGATTGTCAATTATTGTTAAATGACATTATTTAAGGTCAAAGTAAGTAAATTAAAATATGTAGGTATGTGTGATAAAATTATTTTCGATTCGATTAGTTTTTAGAGTGTTTTTTTGTGTTGTTTATTAAGTTTTTGCTTTAAAATATTTTCGTGTATGTTTATTTCATATTTTAATATAATTAATATTTTGATATATTTACATTATTTTTCTTTTCATTTTTGTTTATAAATTATTTGTGTTCAATGTTATTTTTTTCCATGTTTTTTATTTGTTTACAAGTTGTAAATAAAATAATTTTAATTTTAATGCTATTTTTATTTTTTTAAACATAATATCTACCAAAGATCCTACATATTGGTGATATAAACGTTTAATTTAAAACAATAACTTTTGTATAAATAACGTTTACTGTTACGTTAATTCTACGTCAGAATGTCCGCCCTAGGAAACGTTAAAGTTTCATATACAGCCAGTTCAGAATAAAACCGAATATATCTATATATATATGGGGCGTGGCCTCGCCTCCCTCCAAGGCTCCTCACAGTAGCTTGTGTGATAAACGACAAGACGAAAGGTCGAGCAGGTAAGACGACGAAAAATTAAATGATAATAATGCAAAAAATCTCATTAGCAATGCAAGCTATTTGCTTAGCTACTGTGTCGCGCGTTGGAGGGAGGCGAGGCCACGCCCCATATATATATAGATATATTCGGGTTTTCTCTAAACGCGCTGTATATTGAACGGTATACTGGAAGTGTTTTAACGAATAATTTACACGTCTATTAAACGTTTACATTAAACACAATTTATTATTGTATCTGTGACAAATTATAAACGTTTTTAAAGAACGTTAATAAATTAAATTAATAAAATGTTTAATAAACGTTGAAAAATTATGTTTATTAAACGGTATTCTGGAAGTGTTTTTAACGAGTTTTATTTGCACTTTGTATATTTTTATCATTTAGGTCCGATCTATCACCCAATCTCGAAAATGCACTCATTGTTGCCTCTAAAAATATATTTTAAATTTTAGGTGAAATTTTTTTAAACTTTAAGTACCTTGTATTGCCTTGGACATTAAAGTATCCCGGAAAGCTTTTTTCTTATGGTCGCGTCCGGACCAATTGAATTTTACTGCTATTTTATCGCTTAGCATAAACTTCATCATGTGCATTACTGCATTCCTGACAGAACTACCCCCAATACATGCAAGGCGGGTTTTCTAAAACATTTAAAATCATTTAAACTATGGTTTAATTATAATTGTTATCTAACAAAATTTGGTATTTTTAAAAAATAATTGTTTTCTAATAAAATAGATAAAAAGCTGAAGAAGCCAGAATGGTTGATTGCTACTTCCTTAACAGAAATATATCTTCACAGAATATTTTTAAATATTATGGTTACACTTTTTCTCTTTCTCATGCCTTGGTAATTCGTTCCACTGGTAGAACAAATTCTTTCCACTGGTAGAACGAATTCTTTACATAAATTAATTGCCAAGGCCTGAGAAAGAGAGAACAATTTCTCGCGCAGGGAGTGAAGACGTCACTGTACTCTGTACTAATAAATCCAACTCTAATTTAAGTATTATACTTCTGTTATGTGTTTTATCTACAAAATCCACAAACAACTATGTATAATCACTATAAATAAAACAAGGCAGCTTTAAGTTGAAGTCTTCAAAGGTAAGTAACAAATAAAATACACCAAACACTGGTCATATACTTAAAGATATATCTTTTTTAGATCAAAATCCATTTACATAGTAGCAACAATACCATAGAACAGGAATCTGGGATCGGGGGAAAACTTAAGGCTGCAAATTCATATCTATTGAGGGAAAACAGAATAGAGGAGGGGCGCAATTGTTAGTTTTAAAATTATAAAATGTAATAATTTTTTTTAGATATCCAAGGCCAGTGAAACAATTGTTGACATGTTATTGTATTAAGTGGTGTGCATATGATTTTATTCCAAATTTGCAAACAGAATAAAATGTGTATTTTTATACAGGGTGAGTTTTAAGTTGACGCGTTCCTTTTAACAGTGTGTAGAAATCAGATAGACAAATAAATATTTTAAGTAACTTTTTTATCAAAACTCAAAAATAAGAGAGTTGTTACCTTTTTATTTTTGTTGAGAGTAATGCTAATTTTACTTTCAAATCTTTTTAATTTTAGTAATTTATACAAGTTCACTTACTGCTAAAAATCACTTTTCCATAACTTATTGTAGTGTTAGAATTTACCGAATTGAATTTTCAAACATCTAAGATCCTGTCTATCCGGTATTTATCTGTTGGTGGTGTATTTTATATCTTGTTTCGGTTGTAAATGTGGAACCTCCCATGGCTAGTAAAAGCAGTGTCTTAAGCAGGAAATTCCACCTTGCCTAGGTTCTATGGTCTCTAGGGATCTAAAAATAAACATTTCAATCGTTACGTTACTAGATTTTGTGTAAACTTACCTATTTTTCCTTGTTTGAATGTTATTTTTGTGGGAACTGGTTAGACAAACTCTGACCAAAAAGTTGGGTTAGACGATATCTAAAATGTTAGGTATGCGTTTGTTACTTGTTTTCTGTTGTTATGTGAGGAAATCATAGTGTACTTACTTTGTTTTGTCCTTATTTTGAGTCTGCAAAATTGGGTTATCTTCATTTGTTTTGATGTCAAACATTCAGTGTTGCCAACCTGTCAGTGTCACTAGACAAATTCCTCTAACTTGCCGGAAATTTGAAAAATTCAAATTTTTTTGCCCTTAAAAATTAATTTTAATTGGTCATCTATTGCGCATTATCTTGAGACCGGAAAAAGGGTTTCAGCCATGGATTGTTCTTCTGTACTTCTGACTGAGTGCGTGTCTCCCAGGAATTTCTAAATAGTTGGTTTTATTGTAACCATCCGAAGTTGTTTTCGGGATTAAATCTTAGAATAACCTGCTGTGGATTTATTCAGGCTAATTGTGATACCTATTTTTGGAATTTGGAGCCTGTAAATCAATCGGTATGTCCGGATTAATTGGGCACGCCTTGGTAAGAATCATTTAACCCTATTTTTCGTTATCGTCACCTATATCTCTTGTTAGGTTGGAAATCAGAAGATAAATACTTTAACCGCACACAACACCGTTGAGGCATTTTATTCGTTTTCTCTGGGAATACCTCAACCACGCGTAAGTAACCTCAAAACTATTTCTATTTATTTTGCAGATTCGTAAGTAATTTCATTTGTAGGGTTCTAACAATACGTTCTAATAATACGTTCTAATCATACGTATCGAATTCAGTTATACGTATTTCCCTAGTTGGGAACTGATTGTCATTGGATTAATTTCATTTCACAATTATCTCCAATTGTTTTGTGGGGCTCACCCTGTGAAAACAAGCACCGATTTGGACTATACCTACCCGATTGTGACACCGATTTGGACTATACCTACCCGATTGTGACAAAATATTCCCGCAAGCAGAGACCAAGTCTACGTCCGAATGAGTAGCACCCCGGATTGACTACAACCACTGGATTTGACCACACTTTCTACCCTGACAGCATCAGCTACTGGACCTACCGGCTCTGGATAAGTTGCACTATATTTCTCTACTCTAATTTTGGATATTTCCGATTTCCTTTTTTATTCCTTAACTTACCTTGCTATCGTTGAATATGAAATATTATACTCCATATTATGGTTAGTAGATATAATTTAATATTTACTTACCTTGGTTAATCTGCACTAACTGTCAATTCGACAGAAGAATATTTTGTTTATATGTCATTACTTAACTATAATATAACTATATCAACTTTTCTAATATTTCTAGGGACTTAAAACCGTTTTAGTTATTTTCAGCCCTTAAAAAGGGGTAGTTTGGGTTTAATTTTCGCGTATTACCTTATAGAAATTCAATTTACTTTTGAATAACAAATTTATTTTTAATTTATTTAGAGTACCTAGATATGTTGGAAAATTCGTGTATACTGGGTTGCCTAACCGGCCAACCTTAATAGTCCTAAATTCTAGTTTTTACCGTTGTGCGCCTAAGTGATATCACAAGGGTTGGTTGAACCACATTCAATTGGTTCGGTAAATGTACTTTAATTGATTTGACAATCTGGAATAGTTTAAATATTGTTTTAACCTTATAACTTAACTTAGAACATTTATAACTTTTTCACTTATCTTAATCCCTACCTTTTATATTATATATATTTTTTTTGTTGGACAATTTGAACACCGTTTTTGAGATCTGTAACACTACATTTAAAGGAAATAACCCCGGTCTAGTCTAAATATAGTTGTAATTTTACTTATACTTGAGTTTTCTTTAATTTCACTTATTAAATTTGGTAATTTTTGTTAGTAAGTATTCTTGGTGCCTAAATTTTGTTGTAAATTACCTGGCGCCCACTTGACCTTGAACATTTTATTAATAGTTTCATTTATTATTTTGAACCACACCCCTCTCCACTGGTAAGCTTAGTCGACAGGCACTGTTACTACCGAAACTTATAAGTATAAGCTGACTTTTTCAACTAAAAGTCTTAATACCAGATTTTGGTGTAACAGAGTTATAGCCCTTCAAAGTTTAATTAAATTTTGAGCCGGTCCTGGCTATTGTTAACAAAAATTATAACCATAAAATTAACAAAATAAACAATGTAAAATGTCATATATGACAGCAAACATAACCATTTAAATCAAAATGACATTTAGCAATGAAAAATGTCAAATGGTTATGTTTTTTGTTTACAATAGTCAGGACCGGCTCAAAATTTAATTAAACTTGGAAGGGCTATAACTCTCTTATTTTTGAGTTTTGATAAAAAAGTTACTTAAAATATTTATTTATCTATCTGATTTCTACACGCTGTTAAAAGGAACGCGTTAACTTAAAACTCACCCTGTATAAAAGGATACCTAAACAAACAAAACATAAAATACATTTTGAGTTTTTAAAGTTATTTTAAATAGTTAAAAACATAGGACTAAACATGTAAATTATTATACTTAAAAAATATACTTCACCAATTTTTAAATAACAATGATTTTTATTTTAACCATATATAAAAAGTAAACCTATTTAGCTTGGTAAAATAATCAAAAAATAATAATTATTCAATTGTTGAATCTCCGACTTGAAAAATATTTTGTATTATTATTTTAAAAATGTTTTAATATTACAATGTTTTAAAAATATTTATTTTAAATATTTATACATTTTCTGATGTATACATTATAATATTTAAAAATATTGGAAATAAATATTCTTAAAATGTTTTAGATATATATATACATATATGTATAGAAAAATAAAAAGTTGTTTAAATTTTTTAAATACTCCTAAAACATTTATTTTAAAATAAGTATTATGGTAAGAGTTTAAAACATTAAAAAAAGCATTGATAAAAATTTGAAATCAAATTAAAAAGCAAAATAAAAATAAACTATTTTTTTGAGTGGCATTAAAAATAATTGTAAAAAAAATATTGCTCTTTAGTTTAATTATCTTTTAATTGCTTCAATAATAACCTGGGGTAGATTTTAAGAAATTATTTAAATAAGAAAATAGTTACCATGTAATTAAACTTCTCTTCAACTTTTAAAAATTCTTCCAAGGCCCTATAGTCTTGTTTATTAGTAATGGGTTGATTTGGGATATCGGTTGGTTTTTCCATAGTCAAACTATTTGCTGCCTGATTTGTTGTCAAAATATTATTAAGCAACACAGTGTGCTGCTCTTGTCGTTGGCTTAAGAGTTCTACTTTTCGAAGAATTGTTTCTAATAAATAATCCGAATTAGAAGCTCTCAAACTGCTACTGGAAGAACAAGGCGTAGTTGGTAAAACAGGAGAGGAAATGGGTAAGGAATTCACATCTCTTCTTATTTTTTCTGTATGAATAATACAAGCTGTTGTTGTTTCTCCATCGCTAAATGATGATATTGATGCTTTATCATCACTAAAAAATAAACAGTAACATTAATTTTTATATTTATATTTAAATACTAAACTAACCTAAACGAAACATCATCGTAGTCTCTTTTTTTGGCCCTCATGTTTTCTTTTTCGTCGACTAATGTATCCATAAGTATTAATGGTTCCATGTCGGTTCCGGAACTGGTACTCTCTTCTATGCTATTTTTTAAAATATTATTGGCTTCACTAAAATCATCTAAAATGTATTTTTTTTATTATTGCTCCAACAATTTTTTTAGCATTTAATACCTGTTATTTTAAATATTTTAATTAGTCTATATTTTTTCCATGATGCTTCTGGTTTTCTGCATGACTGCACTATTTCGTCAAAATTGCGGGATGAAATGTTTCCTTTTGGCCAATAACAATATTTTTGTTCGTCTGCTAGCCAATTTATTGGAACTACAGAACATTTTCTCCCTTCAAATTCTACCACGGCATACATTTTCATTCGACTTTGGATTTAAGGATGAAGTAGAGGTAGGAAATATTTATTTATTTAATATGAGCTTAGTTAGGTGACAATATACAAAGTTTTTTATATTTTAAACTTTTTTAACATTAAAAAATACTCACAAAAAATTATTAAAATAGTTAATGAATAAACTCGGTAAAAAATCATATAAAACCATAAATAAAATTAATTATAAAAATCAAGGTTCCAGAAAAAATAGTTATAAAACAACCAGTTAATAACGAAACTAAAAAAATTCTAATTTTAAAATGTTTAAAATTATGTGCTTTTGATAAAACCAAATATAAAGTGGGAGACAAGAAAAAATATATATACAGGGTGTCCGGGAAAATGTGGGAAATCTTTCGGATTCAGATAGAACATGAAAAAATAAGATGACACGTTCCTATAAATTTTTTTCCTACTGGCCTAATAGACAGTGTAACTAAGCGGAAAACTGACGGTTATGTGATTAAAAATGGACTTCTTTATAAAGACGTTAATGACGATGTTTTAGTGGTGGTACCAAAAACAATGCAAGGGCAAGTGGTGCGCCGGGCACATGAACGGGGGCACTTTGGTGTAAGTAAAACGGAGGCCATCGTTCGAAGAGACTATTGGTGCAAGGGTTTACGGCAGAAAGTGGAAAAAGTTGTGGCTAATTGCATAAATTGCATTTTAGCTGAACGAAAACATGGTAAACCGGAAGGCCTGTTGAATCCTATTAGCAAGGGTGATGTGCCGCTACACACTTACCACGTAGACCACCTAGGCCCGATGACAGCAACAAAGAAGCGGTATCAGCATGTGTTTGTTGTAGTAGATGGGTTCACAAAATTCGTCTGGTTGTACCCAACTAAGTCGACCGATGCCGCTGAGGTGATTGACCGACTCCAGAAGCAGTCAGCTGTTTTCGGAAATCCAAAGAGGCTTATTGCCGACCGGGGGTCAGCATTTAGGTCGCAAGCTTTTGAGGAATATTGCAAAGAACAAAACATCGACCGTTTGTTGATAACTACAGGTGTTCCGCGAGGAAATGGGCAGGTTGAAAGGATTAATAGGACGATAATACCCCTCCTTACAAAACTAGCCGCTCCGACACCTGAGGACTGGTATAAGCACGTGGAGAGTGCGCAACGTTACCTAAATTACGTACCGAGTCGCGCAACTGGAAAAGCTCCATTTTACTTATTATTCGGCGTGGAGATGCGTATAAGAGATGATCCGCGATTAAGCGAATTTATAGAAGAGGAATGGATCAACAGATTCGAAGAAAGTCGCGACGGGTTGAGAAGAACGGCCAAAGAGAAAAATATCCGATCGCAAGAAGAAAACAAAAGAGGTTACGACTTAAGGCGAAAAATAGCGATGAAATACCAGGAAGGCGATTTGGTCGCTATCAAAAGAACGCAGTTTGGGCCAGGTATAAAACTCAAACCGAAGTTCCTTGGGCCCTATAAAATCCAAAGTATAATGCGACACGACCGTTACATTGTGCGGAAAGTTGGTGAACACGAGGGGCCAAACGAGACTTCGACATCGGCTGACCACATGAAACCATGGGCAAGGGACCGCTGTGATGATTTCGACAGCGAAGACGAAACCGAAGACAACCTCTGAGGCCAGAGGTCCTGCAGGATGGCCGAATGTAGTAACGGATATTTTGTGTCGTGTTTATATTAATTTTAAGTTCAGAAGTAATAAATATGTTAGCTTAGAGATAAAATGTATTGCTGTTAAGTACGTGCACATGTTTTATATTTAGATTAGCTAGGGTGGCCTGACCGTTGTGGGAAAGTTTTTCTTAAAAAGTACCTGCAACGCCTGTTTTATGTCTTTACTGTCAAGGGGGATATCTCTTAAAAGTAGAACGGTCGGGCAGGCAGATTTTTAGAAACCATTTAAGAAGTAAGACGTATTATTTTGCCCTGTACTTGTTTAACTTTTAAATTCAATATATAGTTTTTTGCCTACTTTCGTGCATTATTAATCACTTCGAACCGATTTACCATCTAGCCAATTTATCCCTACATAATTTTGGGCCAGAGTTACATGTCGTTGTGCTCTGTTAGAAAGTGATTGAAAGCGTTTCCTAGCGAAATTCTGCGAATCCACGTGTAAAGACGTGGCTAATAAAATTATTTCTATAATCAAATTGATCAAGCATTATTATTAAGAGTTAGATACAGCTCTCCACGCTCAGGCGTGGCCTGCTAGCCAGGATTAAAATATCTACCCAAAAAGCATTGATTAGCACACTGACCACTCTGGTGGCTCCACCTCCGCGAGGTCGGAGGCGGTAACGTGGCAGGTAGGCGCTCAGCCTAATACCGTCGCGGCAAAGAGAGCCAATCCATACGTGGGTATACAGTCATCTCGAATCCAAACCAAAATGAGCGACACGTCAAAGGGATCCAATCCCGACAGCCTCGAAACCCCCCCCCGGACTACAGCGAAGTCAATCACCCAAACCCAACTTACCCCCCAGGCTATAGCGAAGCCAATAATCACCCCCGAGGAAGTCCAAGAGGCTTTTGATTGTATCAGAAACCACTGGGAGACAGAGAGCAGGGATTCCAAGCTCAAAAGAAATTCCTTGCTGTCCTGTCTGGACCTGATTCAAAATTCCTACCAAGACCTATTACAAAAGCCCAGCCAAACTGTCCCAATGGATGTGCTAGAGGAGATGCTCGACGCTAAGTTAAGCGGATTGAGCCAATGCCATGCAATTTCAAATGATACCACCTACGCTGCAAAGGCAGCCATTCGGACAACAGTTAAGCTCCCAACGGGCAAATCCGTACCAACCAAGAATACCTCAGTCGTCCTGGTCTACCCAGACGCTGATAACGAGCACACAAAGAGTTTCACCTCCGATCAAACAAGAACTGCTTTAACAACCATACTAAGACCTAGACAAACAGGCTGCAAGATCGACAAAGTAAACAAACTACCGGCGGGTGGACTCCGACTGGAGTCCAGCAAATCCGACTTAAGTGCCCTAATCACACAGGCTCTAAAAGAGAAAGGCTTGGTACTAAAGGTACCTACCAAACGGCCGCCAAGACTTGCCATTTACCATGTACCGGCTTTACTCGAAGCTGACGAGATAGAAGAGGCGATCATCGCCCAAAATTCGGACGGGCTAACAAATGACCAGAAGGACATTCTAAGGGACGGAGTTCTTGTAAAGTTTAAGTTTGGGCCAAGGGATTCCAGCACAGTCCACTGGATAGTACAAACAACTCCCAAAGCTCGAAAACTCATACTTAATAACGACCACCTCTACATTGGCATGAGCAAATGTAGAGTTTCAGACCACATAAGAGTGACCAGGTGTCACAACTGCCAGCAATATGGGCATATGTCCTCTTCATGCAGAGCCAAAGCACCAGCTTGTGCTCACTGTGCTAAGCAACACAACACCGACAAATGTCCCACCAAAAACCAAGCCCCCATATGCATTAACTGCACCAACACCGGCCACAAAGATGAACATGCTGCCCATGAAGCGTCCAGCTCCAACTGCCAGGTATACAAGAGAAAGCTGGCCGAAGCCGTAGAAAACACCTTATATGACTAGCAGATTTCTCAGTATAGCACAGATTAATACCAATCACTCCAGGCTTGCCACTAGGGAACTACTTGCTCTTATAACACAGGACAAATTTAATATCATCCTCATTCAGGAACCGTACTGTGTCCGAGTAACCAACAACCGTTACAAGATTCCTGGTCTAGGCCAGCATACGAAGCAAGCACACACCACCCACACCAAGCCCCAAGCGTCTGTGATTATAATCAACCGGGCCACAGATGCCTTATACTTACCACAATACTCGTCACAGTACGTTTCTACCACTGAAATCACCCACTTGGGCAATAAAATCTACTTGCTAAGTATATATCTTCCCACAGACGAACCAGTTCAAACAACCCTGATGTTAGTGAGATCACTAATCCATGACGTCGGAAGAAACAACATCATAATCGCTGGTGATCTTAATTCCCGCTCCCCTCTCTGGAATTCTCCAGAAAGGAATTGCAGGGGAGAAGAACTAGAAATATTCCTCGCCTACTATGACCTACATGTTGCCAACTCAGCCGGCCACGCGCCGACTTTTTCTACTGCCAACGGATCCAGCCACATAGACGCCACTCTTGCATCAGGCAACATAATGAATAACCTGACAAACTGGACCCTCCATGAGGACGCCTTACAATCTGATCATAAAATGATAACCTTCACATTCCAAACCGAACGCCACACTACCAGATACGACAGGCCCAGATTCAAATTTGGAGCGAGAAATGAGCTTTTGCTAGAACTCGTCCAGCATCAGATAGATCAATTACCAATACTTGAACTTCAAACCCCAGACCTAATTAACGCAGCCGTTGAATCCCTAACCAACTTAATCTATGATACCATGAACCGGGTCTTACCAAAAAAGACCTTACGAGTCACTGAGTGCACTTGGTGGCACGAGGGACTTGATAGAATGAGAGCACAATTAAGGAGAAAACGCAAACTCTACCAAAGACAGGCAGACCACGACCTCAGACAGAGACGGAGGGCTATCTACCTGCTGTCTCTGAGAGAATATAAACAAGCTATTGCCAATGCCCGCTCCAGATCCTGGGATGACTTCGTGGATAACACCTTATCCGAGGACCCATGGTCCTTCACCTACAAACTTGCAGCAGGAAAAGTCTCACCGCCCGTTCTACCAACATCCCAGACTGGAGCCAATGCCACAACGACGATAGAGGATTGCTTCGGCAAAATCCTCGATACGCTTATGCCGCCTGATGACCCTGACCAAGATACCCAAATTCATCGAAACATGCGCCTCTTAGCAGAGGAGTGCATTGGCTCAAACCAGAACATTACCATCACTCAGGATGATATTTCCATCTGCATTGCCAAAATAAGAAACGACAGAGCCCCAGGACCCGACAATATCCCGGGCAAAGCGCTAAAACTCCTAGAACCTGCCATAATTGGCCACCTCGAGAACCTCTACAACAGCTGCCTCCAATGCAAACACTTTCCGAATAAATGGAAAGAAGGCCGCTTGGTCACCATTTTGAAATCCATTGACAAGGACCCATCTTCCCCTAAGTCACTCAGGCCAATAACCTTACTCTGTGAGTTAGGTAAATTATTCGAAAGAATATTACTAGATAAGTTAAAGGATACCACAGCCGAAGATGACTTATTCGATGCAAAACAGCATGGGTTCAGCCCCGGAAAGTCCACAATTACCGCTCTAAAAGACATAATGGATTCTGCCAGACAGGATGGAAGGCACACTGCAATAATTGCCCTGGACATCTCTGGGGCCTTTGATGCGCTGTGGTGGCCCTCGGCCATCACAGCGCTTTTCTATAAGAACATCCCTGACAAATTATTAGGAACATTTAAAAGTTACCTGAGAGATAGGGAAATTTACCATGAAACCAACTACCACAGAACTACAAAAGTACTTACCAGAGGCTGCCCGCAGGGCTCAGCACTCGGCCCAACCTTGTGGAATTTGGTGGTTGACGGTCTCCTAACCGTTAACTATCCGGAAAACTGCAAAGCCACAGCCTACGCCGACGACATCACCCTTGTCATAAAGGCAGACACAAGAGCCCTATTGGAAGAAACCGCTAACACGGCACTGAATCTGGTCCACCGTTGGACCCAAAATCACAAACTGACCATTTCAGCGGCTAAGTCTGAATACTTATTAATATCACCAAGACTGAGAAGGAACCCATCATTCCACATAAATAACCAAAGAATTCCAAGAAGCAGCCAGATCAAACTCCTTGGAGTGATATTAGACGAAAATTTGACCTTCACCAAACATATACAGTACGTGACAAACAAGGCCATCACAATATTCCATCAGCTTAGAAAATACACCCGAGGCAGATGGGGTATTCCCACTGTCCGCAATATGATGCAAATTTACCAAAAGGCGATTATTCCCATCGTCTCCTATGCTGCACAGATCTGGTCACACAGAATCCACCAATATAAGAACAGCCGACATCTACTAAGGGCCCAAGCTACGGCTTTTAGACTAATCCTGGGAGCCTACCGTTCCACCCCAGATAATTCTCTCAGTGTGGTGGCGGGAATTCCGCCCATCGACCTGATCATTAAAGAAAACCTCGCCATTCAAGACCTCAAGAACCAGGGAAGAACAATTTTCCTGGGTCGGATGGTGGATCTTGACCACCACGAGAGCCTCACCGCAGCCCGAAGATTTCTTAGAATAAGCCTAACTGCATACTGGCAAGAGCAGTGGGATCACAGTACAAAAGGCAGACAATGCCACCAATTAATACCAAACTTGGCAAACTGGGTGGATATCCATCCTGGGCCTATCCACCCATCCATCACAGCTATACTCACCTCCCACGGCAACTACAGGTGGCATCTTCATAGGATTGGGAAAGAGGATAATCCGCAATGTGACACCTGCAACACCCCAGACCATCCAATCCACAGGATCACCACATGTGAAAGAACAACCCAAGCAAGACAGGATTTGTGTACTTTACTAAACATAGATCAAATCACTACCGACAACTTTACTACACTCATTACCGAACACCCTAGCGAACTTGTAAATTTCGCCAAGATAATCAATGCTATGGACCCGACTCCCGGAATGGTCCACTGACTTAGAAGAAGAACCGGATTCCAATACACCAACCAACAACCAAAACCCAGAAGACATACTAAGAAAACAACCTACTACTCAATAACTATCCGCAATGCAGAGGTTAAGCGAAAGCAGGAACTCTGCACAACAACGACTCCTGCCCCACATCGAAGCCTGCCTTCCAGTGATACAGCCAACGACGTAGACATGACGACCGTAGAATGGGACTACGGGGGTGGAGGAGGGTATGTCATGGCCTTCCTTACGGAGACATGGGCCCCGAAAGGACTCCCCTGCAAATTGGTTTTCCTTGAATAACTTTTAAAGTACTAAATATAATTTAATAAAAATTTAATATGATGGACCCTGGTAAGGACCTCTTAAAATAGTGTCATTGAAACATGTTTTGCTTTTTTTGACTAAGTTTTACTTTTTAATGCTTAAATTTTGAACACCCCGTATGACATAGACTTAAAAAAACTAAATCTGCATAGCTTGAACCTTAAACTAAAATAAAGGTACTATATACAAATTCATGTTTTATTTTTTAATAAAAAGGACCATAAAAAAATAATTATTATAATATAACGTATTGTTGCAAACCTTAAATTGAAGGACGATAATTCGAAACAATTAAAAACTTTATAAGAGGGTTCAACATGGGTTCCGTGAACTCTGATACATTCGCGGGCACGACGAATTGAGGACTGCTGTACCTGACGAAGCACTGGTCAGTGATTGGCTAGCACTCGCACCGCACAGACCAGTCGACTTAAAAAGCCGCACAAGCGAGCACTCATTCTCTCTTCCGCGCCAACCTTCGACTGCTCCACATCTACGGCTCCTAACCGAGACTTAGATGCCAGAAAGGTCAAGCCTACTTGCTGAAGATACTCTGTGGTTTTATTCAACGACCTACCTTCGCTGCTCGCACATCGGTCCACCCGGACGATTGCTCGCTAGCACATATAAAAAGAAAGAATTAACTATTCGGTAGTCAGGTTACCTACATATAAAGAAAGACACACTTCGGGTATCAAATCACCACGGGTCGCCGGGTAAGTATTAGGCGACGTTCACAACTGCCGCGCATCCACACGACGCCCACCACCGCAACGACGCCCACGACTGCCGCGACGTTCACCGCCACCGCAGCTCCACCGCTCGGCCCCACGGCCCCCACTGAATGCCCGTTGTGACGAGAAGCCAGACGCACGCCGAACGACTCTCCGCACGCGAATCCGCCATGGCCGACACGCAGACGACCGGCACGGGCCCCGCGGCCCACGGCTCTGCTTCCGACACGACCGATGAGGACGTTGGCGGCTCCGGAGGTGACGCGCCCCTCGCTTCGTCTCTGGATGTACAAGAGACGGCCCTCGGGGACCACCGGACGGGATTGGACAACCTGGGGGACCACCGTCTACAACATACCCGCCAGAATAACCCACATATCACAATAAAACGTGATTATCTGTAGAAGTTCCTCTATCACCAAGTTTTTTTAGGTATCCCCACAGGAAAAAATCCATCAGCCTAAGGTCGGGAAATCGAGGAAACCAGTCAATAGGTCCTCCTCTACCTGTGCAACGGTTTGGATAAACGTTATTCAAGTGCTCCAGCACAGCAACGCTGAAATGAGGTGGTGCCCCATCGTGCAAGAAGTACATGTTTAGGCGGGTTTCAAGTGGTAAGGGCTGGAAAGAATAGTGCTATGTTGCTGATCCAATAGCCAGTTTGCAAACTGCATTCTACAAGGAAAATCTTCA